ATGCGCCACGCGGTCCCACCTCGACTATTTAAATCGGAAATTAGGTATTATGTCATGATTCAATGCAGCTCCTCTCGCCTCTCGGAGACCGTAAAAGTAGTCGCGCGACCGTTCAGGTTGTCATCGAGGGGACACTGATAGGTGCTCACTTGCTCTGCGTGTCTCCCCCATATTGAAAAAAAAGGCTTATTTCAAATTCCTCTTGAAGATAAATTAAACATTTCCGAATGTACCGGACCAGAGTTTGATCTGTACTTATACAGGGTTTCCTAGGATTAAGTACGAATATTAAAGGAGTCGGTTCTCTGCGGGTTAAAAAAAACCTTTTCTCCCAAAAATACTTTCCTCGGAGACCATGACCCCCCAAAGGTGCAGGAAAAAAATTGTCTTTTTAACACTGTGACAATGCTTATCAACCAATTTTAATGAAAATTGGTTAATTTTTAGCGTTTTTTTCATTTTCGACCTTCAGTAAAGGGAAAACTTATTTTGAAGGGGGTTTAAGAGGGTATAGAACTTAAAAGTGGCCAAAATTAATGTTTCTAGCGACAAAAATTGATTTTTAACGGCACCATTAGATTTAGCGTTGAAAAATATTGCGATTATGTATCATGCGTTTTTTCGCTATGTCTCATCGTTTTCGAAATAATAGGGACTGAATGGAGCGGGGGTGGTGGTGGAGAGGGGGGGGGGGGGTGTGGCCTCGAGGAAAAGTGTTTTTGGAATGAAAGTTATACCACCAAAACGTCTTTTTTTGATCCAAAGAATCGACTCCTTCAATATTCGTACTTAATCCTGGGACACTCTGTATAAATACCTTTAAAACATTTTTATAAGATCCACTCGAAGAAATATGTACAAATTGCATAGACCGAAAATGCACCGGAAAAACTACTCCTGATCCATTGTATTTTTGCTCAAATAAAGAGCCAAGACTCTTAATTTAAACGGATTTTCTTTTGATTCAAGCAAAAATTCGATTGAGTCGAGAGTATTTTGCTTTTCAAATTTTTTTAAGAGTCTGCGCTCTGAATCCAAGAGACTCTTTTTCAGCGTGGGATCACAAAAAAGTAAAAACTTGAGTTTTTTTTATCCTTATTTCCTCACATGAGTAAATAAGGAAAAAATAAACGCACACACTTTTAAAAAAAACAGAACGTATCGAGCCATCACTAACACATTTTCAGCTGCATAAACAATTAAAATCAATAAAAAAAAAAATGAAGGGTGCGGTGACCCGATCCCAGTTCAAATGGAGTGGTTGGTTGATACATAAGTTTATTTACAGGTGCTTTAACAATTAACAGTCATTGACACCTAGAGCAGAGATCAAAAGGAGAAGTACAAAAATTAAAAGAAACGGCAAAAAAATTAAAAAAATAAATTAATAAGTCGTTTGAAAAAAGGAGGGATTTGATGAGAAAATTTTGAAAGTATGATATTGAGATGTTGCGTGATATCCAGTGGGTTCAGATGCCATTCAAGTTTTTATTATATCAATAGCTGAAAATTAGCTAGTAACGGCTTAAATTGTCCTTTAGGAGGAAAAAATCAGTCCGATTCTGCTTGATTTTTGACGTACGAATACTATTAGAGTGAAGCATAATCATACTCCTGGTAGCATCTATCCTGACGATGGCAAATGGTACCATGGAGTCTGTTTACTATACCCGTATTATCATGCCAGATCATGTTGAAATCGACCGTATTTTTTCTCAGTGTAGGAACACTCTGAAACGTCTAGGGCCAGGATAGTATTATGAAAATATCGATAGCAGAAAATATCCAATCGTAGCGATTTAAGGGCGGAGAAGGAATATTCCTAGAGGCTTTTTATGTATACATTCTCGTATTTTATTTTTGAAAACATTTAGTGTTTCTGGTCTGACAACTGCCGAGGCATCTCATGCAATACCCATCCTGAGGTCAAGTTAAAGTTGAAGTAGCTTCCACATTTCTCAGGACTTAGACAATTCTTTTCTCTCCTGCTGTTTTTTTCTAAGCCTCAAAAGCGGAAATTATCGTCGACTTCTCACAACGTTCGATAAAAAACCTGATAGGACATTTGAAAAAATTGTTCCCAGGAGGGAACATGCCCATTTTAGATGAGCCTAGGATACTAGTTCTATCGTGTAGCTCAGGCTCATTTGATAACGATTACTTATTCCTTTTCGGAAACAACAAGTTCATTTGCTTGCAGTATTCATGACTAGCACGTGACGGGCAGGGACGCAAAAATCTTTCTAAATTGAAATTCTGACCGTCAACATGAAAAAGGAACCGAGAAATAAGAGAAAAAAATCTCGGTAAAGCAGGGTTGTCAAATCGTGATGGATTCCGCAAGCACCATCCGAACTAGGCGAATTTTTTAAAGGCACCGGCAACAAGGACTACACAAGCCGAACAGATCCCCGATGACCATGGCCGTGTGAATACAGAATGCTGAGGAACCAGTCGCAGCGTTGATGAGCTGGTCTGGAAAGCCTCCTGTTTTTTTTTATTTCTGTCGTCGATTTTTGTGGGGAAAAAATAGGTTTTTTTGCAGATCGACAACTGTGCACGTATCGTCGAAAATAACGAAGCTAAACTGTTTCCCATTCAATGCTTCCCGCTCATGCAAAAATGCTGAAATACAAGCTGAATAGTGTGGTTTCCATCACTCACAGTGGCGTGGCGCGCTTTGCGATAAATCGATTGATCTGCCATTTAAACCCGTGGAAAAGGATCGATGGACAGGGTGTTCGCGACGAACACCTTAATGATCGATTCTTCACCACAGCTTCAAATGAGGAAATATCGATAGTCGATCATTCACGCCTCGCCACTGATCGCTAAGCTGGATACCTATTCAATGTTTATCCGGTTTTCACCCCTTGTTTTGCGTATTATGATACAGAAATATAAACATTTTTTTTTTAATGAAGCAATATTCTCTGGTGGTGGTACTCACTGAATTATCAGCGCTGAAGTCAACTGCTTTTTCTTCACAATGGAAAGATTTTCCGGAAAATCCTCATATGGCAGGAAAGAACGGAATGTATTTGCGTATTCAGCACTAAAAATTATCAATTCAACACTAAAATTCAGATAGTATCACCATACCTGAGATCTTAGTCTTATTCTGATGTTTTTATATTTTTTTTTTTTTTTTTTTTTTTTTTTTTTTTTTTTTTTTTTTTGGTGTTCCTAAATACCTGTGTTATAGTAAGCTCGACACACGAAGGGCGAAAATCGACAGCTGTTAAGTGTGTACAGTGGAGCATGGGTGGATATTTAGGATTTAATGCATTGATACCCATGTTCCACCGATGAAGTTTTTTTCGCCGTACTTCCGACTTCATTTTTCATCGGAAACCCTTGGGAATATCATGGTTGCCGGCGATCTGGAAACCGGGAAAATCAGGGAATTTGCGACAGCCAGGGAAAATTAGGGAATTTTTGGGGAAAGTCAAAAGTCAGGGAATTTCTAACACATCTACTAATCCCTGAAACGTACTACCTACTGATCCTCTCGTGGCGTTGCGTGATTTGCGATACATAGATTGATCTGCCATTTAAACCCATGGAAAAGTCATATCGACAAAACGCAATAATTTCTTGATATTTGTCAACGCTGAATCCAATAGGGCCTCCATAATTTATTTTTCGTCATTGGAAACATTGATTTTGGCCACTTTTAGATTCGACCCCCCCTAAACCCCTCTCCCCCTCAGAATGAGTTTTCCCTTTTTTGGAGGTCAAAAATGAAAAAATGGTGTATTTCCTTCGGAAAATACACCGAAAGCGCTAAACATTACCCCCAAATACCAATTTTCATTAATACAGTGTTAGAAAGACGATTTTTTTTCTTCAACTTTAGAAGGCCGCGGCCCCCAGGAAGAGCGTTTTTGGAAACAAAGTTATACCACAAAAACGAATTGTTTGACCCAAAGAATCGACTCCTTCAATATTCGTACTTAATCCTGGGACACTCTGTAGATTCACCTGGTTCAATTTGAGGATCGTATACCCGGGAAACCTTGTTGATTTGGATATTTCCCGCCGGTCGCTGACGCGTAAAAATTAGCACTTCGGTCGCTGCCTCGACTTCCAGCTTTTTCGATTGAATACTTCGAAGAGATTGGATTCGTGGGCGCTTTCGTCTGCCCTCGCTTTTATCCTTGGTCGGTGACACTTCGAAAACAACGGAAATTCGTCCGACCCCCCGATTCCACGAAAAGCTTTATCGAACGCTTAACTTTGAAAGGTTTAAAAATAAGCTCCCGGCGCGCCTCCTAAGCCGCGAGATGAAAACACCCCGACCTCAAAAACACTCCGAATAAGTGACTTATGGGGAATCCAGGGAAAGTGGTACCAAGTATGACCACTACTTCGATGGATTAATAATGGGTCAGTTGCGCTGGTCACAGAATCGTGTTTTGATACTTTATTTTTGCAGATCAACTAAAAATAATAAGATCTGTCCAAACAGCAACTTTCTACGTCCCGATGTATGCACACCTCAGGCTGTAGATTTGTCTTAAGTCAGTTGCGCTTATCTAGGGTATCTACAAGCCGTATAAATTGTCAGAAATAATTAAACCTTCTCATGACTTGTTTTTTCTTAAAGATTTCTCAATTAAAAACATGTAACATTTTCCTCCTAAATTCCAAATGTATTGAACATATCGCAAACTCAAAAAATGTATTGAAAATTTATTAAAATTTCTTTGATCTCGTTTCTCTCTAACGACTTGAAACAGGAGTCCTCATGTGGTAAGGAAAGCGGAAACGCCTTCATTTTTTCAAGTGTGCAATGTAGACATCGATTGATTAGGAATACTTGCATCCAACCGTTTTGCCCCAACGATCATCGTATTCCACTTCTGTTCGCAAGCGAGATGCAAACAATACCTGTTAAAGATTGTAAACCTTTTTCATTCATCATGAATTGTGATTTTCTTAAAGCATGGAGAAAGTAATTTCACAATCTAATAAATGCGTTTTTTTGTGTGTTTCAGGATGGCACATCTTTCATGATCAAAAATCAATCACAGTTTGCAAAAGAGCTGTTACCCATGTACTACAAACACAACAACATGGCCAGCTTTATTCGACAGTTGAATATGTGTAAGTAGTATATCTCTAAATCTAATTTTTTATAAAATGTGAGTATTCAGGGATAAAAATAAAGAAAGAAAGAAACAAAAATTGGAACCTATTAAGGGTGGATGCAAATCGCTTTAGGCCTCTGCATTTTTTAAAAAATCCTGCGCAATTCTCTGTTGCATGCTCAGTTTTTGCAAACCAATCAGCACAACGTCTAATCAACATTTTGGCACAAGTTTATGACGCAATCTGTTTTTGCCTAAAAATGTTATCAAATTTTTTAACACGCTTTGTTTGCATATAAAGGTAAGAGGTATTAGCGTTTTGAATCACAATTCAGGAGTAGGTGTGTGCTAACATCTCACATACAACATGGGTACATGCAATCTTTATTAATCCAATATTTCTGCAGAAAATCCTATAAATGGATTGTGGCTTTGCATTTGAAGTAGTCTTTGATTCCAATTTTTCTATTTTTTTTTCTTTAAAAAATATAGATGTTGTAATCAATATTATTTATAATTTGTGTCTCTTAAAAATCGTTAATTCTTTTTAACCCCCAAAAAAGTTTACTCGAGAAAGGTGAGGAGGTAAAAAATGTCCAAAATCGTAAGTTTGTATTTTTTCATTTTTTGTTTTACAATAATTGCAAGGTGCGATGAATTCTGTATACCTTACTTTCCTATTTATTCCGTCATCAATCAAATTCTTCCCATTAAAATATGCCGATTTCATATGGTATTCTTATTTTACCTGTTTTTTTTTTGCATCAGATGGCTTCCACAAAGTGGTCAGTGCTGAAAACAATGGGCTACGACTATCTGACAATGATGAGATCTCTTTCAGCCATCATTGCTTCATCCGTGGTCATCCATACCTTTTGGAGCACATCAAGAGAAAGGTAACAATTTTTTTCTCTCATTTTTTTAGATACTCTTCAGTGTCTACAAAATTTCAAAAACTGACCAAATTGTACTTTTTCAAGTCTTATGAACCATGAAGCTTTCATTAATAGGTTGAGCCAATTACCTTTCCCTCTTGTCATGTTAACAGCAGGAAGAAAAGATAAAATCACTGTGGCCACTCATGTAATCTGTCGAAGGAGAAACAATGAGCCTTTCAATTCATCACTTACTTCTTGACTCACTTTCATTCATAATGCATCATAAACTTAACAGAGAACGCTGAAAAACAAGTATTGGAAAGCACGATCAGCCTCTCTAATGTTTTTTGCTCAAAAACATTCTTCTTAATGTTTGAAACCATGAAAAAAGTCTGTACTTTTAAAAAAGGCCCCAAAAGTTCTGCCAACTTTATCTTTTTAAAAAACGCAACTTTGTTTTTTTGTGGTTTTTTTTTCAACTTAAATCGTCCCTCTCTCATATACAGTATTTTAACCGCTTCAGTAAAAGTGTAGTAGATATCTTTAAAAAGTTAGAATGACAGAATATGCACAATTGATCACAGTTTTTCAAGCTAGCTCTTAAGTGAGGGAGGCAGAGATATGAAGAGTTCTTTGAACCAGTCTTGATAGCTCCCACGTCTGTTATATAACCATTTGAACAATTGCTATGAAGTTTGGTCTTTACAGGTAACCTTGTTCTACAACAAGTGGAACGTAGAAGGAATGAGTGGTTGGGTTCTTAACTGAATTTTCTACCTTTCACGTTCAATTTGTCGATTTGATGACACATTTCTTGGGAAAAATACACTCAAGAATAAAGCACTTCAATTTAGTTTGGCTGAAATTTTAATTTGCAAAGATTTATTGAAAGCAGAAAATAAGATTCATTTATTCCTCCCAGATTTTTCCTGCTTGAAAGCGGTTCGTTTTTCATGAGGAGGATGTTACTGGGTCGGTGGTAGATTTTTGTTCTGTTCTAGTAAAGAGCCATGGAAGTAGTAAGGAGCAGTTAAGAATCATAAACTATGGGGATCAGTGTTCTGCCTGCCTTTTAGAAGTTTATTAGCTAGCTTGGCTAGAAAACCCAATTTTTAGGAGCCATCTGAAATTTTATAGTAGCCAATTTAACTTTTTTGCATATGGATCATTCCCTACCGCTGGACGTTTGGAAAAATGGAGGAGGGTATTCACTTTTTTAGGCGCCAAAGCCTGATTTTTAGAAGGAATTGGCGCATAGCAGCTGGGAAAGGTGATTATGTTGGGAATCAGTCAACTATAATAACCGCAACTGACCAACCTATCTTAAATAATGGTTGATTTTTCCTAGATGACCGTCACCAAGGAAAATAATGAAATTCGTGCAGCTCCTGACATAATGAACAAGATGCTGAATGATGTCAAATCCATGAAAGGACGACAAGAATCCTTGGATTCCAAACTTTCCTCCATGAAACAAGAGAATGAAGCTCTGTGGCGTGAACTGTCAATTCTGAGGCAGAAACATGCCAAACAGCAGACTATTGTCAATAAGGTATTTTTACAGTGATTGCACTCTTATGTTGCTTTTGCATTAATGGGACATCTTCTCTTACTTACTCCTAAAATAAGAAGGGTTGATATGCATACAGGGCCCTGCATGCAAATGTGTGATGTATAATTGCACATGTGCATTGCACAGCAATATCTATTACATTATACTTGTTATTTACGCTTGATAATCTGGAGTCTTAAGCCTAAAAATTTTTCTCAATCATCATTCGAAATTTTTCCTACATGCTCAGACAGTTTCCAGTTTTATCTCTGGAAATACTGCATTTGCGATTCATGTAAAAATCTTAAACCAATTTTATTCCAGTCTGAAATGGCACAATTTCCAGTGGAATACAAAAAATTATGCGGTGTTGTTGCAGAATCTTCAATTTCAGTTTCTATTTCTCTTAATATAAATAGAATTTCATATGTAGTTAAATGAACTAATTGCAGAGCCACATAAATCTGTTTTTCTATTTAAAAATTGCCTGCATCATTATTTTAAGTTAACTGTGAAACAAGAGTCAATATTCTCAAACATTTCAGGTGCTTATCTTCAGTAATAATTGAAATTTGAAGGAATATTCACTCCTAAATTTACAGTTAGCTGCGATGAATATTGCAGGTAATTTTTAAGTGTAAAATTGACTTCCGTCATTCTGCAAGAAATCAATTTAGTTTTTAAACCTATGAATTTTTAATAATTATTGATGAAATACCGAATTACAAAGGAATTGCCTGGTTCTCTTCGAGCGTGCGAAAAGTCATTGAGTGCTTTATCTTGGAAGTGCCTCTTTCGCGTACGGTAATAATTATGTAATGCTTAGCTATGATTTAATACCAATTAAAATTTTTCAACAAAGTTATGAAATAGGCCTTTAGTAGTGTTTCAATTCTTATCTTATTCTTGACTGTGAGATAACTGAAGCTGAATGTTTTCAAGACTGCCCTCACTTTTTGCTTGTCTCCGAATTGTCGCAGTTTTATCACTTCCCTGATTCGCTCTTTAATGAAGGAAGCTTATCAGAATTATGTCAAGAAGTCATTGATATGGTTATTTTCACAACCTCTCAAACTTCGAGCGTGTTGTTATTTCTTCTCCCCCCCCCCCCCCTACTTGTATTTATATTTATCTTCTAATGAAGTCCTACGCTTTAAAACGCACTTTGGTGCAAAGTTGCTTCCTATTCTATCTTCAATAGAAAGTAAAAGCTGATTTGCATCATTCTTTATTTTATCACAAGTATATTTTAAACACATGATCAATGGGTGATTATTGATTCTGGAGTAAGAATCATTTTAATTAGTCACAGATGCTGCTTTCAGATTTTTCAAAATCATTTGTAGATTGTATTGAAATAATGTTTTGCCTCTTTGAGTTTACCTTGGAAATATTGAAACTTTAGAAACTTCCAGAACTTAATAACTCAAGCACTTTAAATATGATCCAGTACCGAACATAATTACTAACTTTATTGCTGGAAAATACATTTGGGCTAATGCCTGGGACTTTTGACAAAAGGTGAAAGAGCTTGAGTGCCCCCCCCCCCCCCCAGCCCCATACAGGTGCAACCTCTACCTGGAGATGTGATAGCGATAAAAAGTCAACCAGAACCGCCAGAAATGGTTTGAAGAATTTTCTGTGTACGCACAAGCACAATGCTTTAAATCTATACAGTCCTTGGAGAGAAGTGTGTGTTGGAATATTCTCAGAACCCCATGCAAAGAAACATTTTTGTAAAATAAACCCTCTAAAACGATCAATGTTTCACTTATCAGTATTACCAGTGTTAATCTATCTGTTAATGTAACACTTTGCTAGTTGACTCTAAAATTTAATTTAGAAGTGAACATTCACAGGGACACTCATAGAAGTAACTTTTTAAATTGAATATCTTATAAGATTTTTTGGTCTCATTTTTTCAGTTGATCCAATTCCTTGTGACACTGGTCCATCCCACACGTAATCTCAGTGTGAAAAGGCGTTCAAATTTCCCTCTTATGTTGAGGGAAAAAGCTCACAATGGTCACAAGCATTCATATCTGAGTGAAGCAAAAAGGCGAACGCACTACAACAGCGGCAGTTCAGATTCGGTGAGTGTCATTCCTTTAGTTTGAATCGGATGGTTTTAAAATAATGCTTTTAAAGTTTCTCAGATTACAAGTGTCAGGCAATTTTAAAGTTATCCAGCAATAGAAGTATTTTTTAAATTTTCGTATGCCTAGTAATTAGATGATAGGCATCATCTAAACAAATGAGAAATTATCCAAATCCATTGAGGCTGTGGAATATTCAACCCTTTAAACTGAAGATCATGCAACGTTTTTACAGATTTTAAATGCTAGTTTTGTTTTGCATGCATCCCCCCCTCCAAATAATTAGGAGTTATCAGAATTTGTTAATTGTCATATCCTCCTCTTTTCTGAATTTATAAAAGTTATTGAAATATCCCCATCAAAGTAAGGAACAAACTAAATGGATTCCAACATTAAAGATCATTTGTATTATACTGTCAAACATCATTCTCTTGAATTTATGTCATTGAGTGTTCAGTTGAAAATTTGAGAGGGAACTACATTCTTAATCTTGGTGATTAAGCCCCTTTCATATTTTTGGGCGTGAATGATGATGGATAAGTTCAAGGCAAGGTTGTTGCAAAATACATTTGTCTCAAGGAAATTAGAGGAAGAATCTATTGATTTCTTTTTTCCTTTTTTTCTTAGCTTAAAATCTGTTGGAATTTTTACAAGCCGTAATTTTCACACCTGTCAGTTCTGAACTTTTTTCTTTCAATTGTAAATTAAAGTTTGACAATTTTACAGATTCAAGAGAATAGAATGTCAAGTTTTCGTTTTGCTGCATTTTTCACCCGGAGAGAATTTCATCAAACAGAATTCTTACATGTAATATACGGTCTAGCTGTTACTGGTGGTGATATTTGTTTTTGTTGAGGATATCAGGATATCTTTTACTGATTGACTAAGTGACACGATTTTGTCAATTTTTTTGCGAGCTTTTCTCCAATGAATGGAGGTTAGGTGTATGGGTTTTCAAAGCAGTATTTGTCCCAGCAGATCAGTCAGAAATTTAAACTTTAATTATCCTTCTCGGTTTCTATACCACCTTTTAAGGAGTGTAATTCTTACCCTAAGCTAATTTTATTTTTAAATACCTGTTTATAGACCAATCCCTCACCAACTGGACCCACAATCCATGAATTAGACCCATCTGATTTTTTGGAAAGCGTGAACATACTAGAAACCAACAAACTGCGATCTGATTCACCATTGTCACCCACCATCACCGACTGCGAGTAAGTTTCATATTAACTTCACTGTAAAAACACCAGAACCCTCTACAGTGTATCCATTCACTCATGGAGCTCATACCATTTTTTTTTTTTTTTTTTTTTTTTTTTTTTTTTCATGTAAATGTACATAGCAATTACACTTGAAATTTTCAGACCAGATAGGTCTTTATAAAATTTTACATTAACTTATACCTAATAAAGTATAATACACACCACTTTTTAGAGTTAATAACAGAATTCAAATATTGAGAGGGGATAAAATTACGAAAGAGATAAAGATTAGATAACTGAAACTAAAGTTAAGAAAATAGGGACATCAAGATGAGAGCTAACTATTGAAAGAAATAATTTTACGAAAGTTACGAAGAGATTGTAAGAAATGATAATTAAAAATAATTAACTTGAATGTTAAAAGAAAAAGTGAGAAAGGAGCTCATACCATGACGATCTTCTTCAAAACCTTTTTTCATCATTTCATTTTGATTTCATTTTCACTGTAAAATCTCACTAGTATGAAGAGAGCCCAGTAGACCATACCCATTACTCATCGTAGACCATTCTCATTGTAGGTTTCAAAAAACCAATTCAGGCATATTTTTTCACAATGAATAGTATTCTGATTATCTGTTCCTTTAACTTGTCTCTATGACATCCTGAAATAACCTCATGATTGGCATAGCAAGACTTGAAAATTCCTAGGTACAATTCTCTGTTTTAAAAAACAGACTCAATGACTACAATTTGTAATCTTAAGGACTTGCTCTGTGTATTTAACACATGAGTGCTAAAGCCTGTAATAATTGTTTTTCATTGGTCACTCAGTTGGAACAGTTGGAATGACCAGCATTTGAATGACTTATTCACGTAGCGTTGCTTTGTGATAGAGTTGCTGTCTACTGGTCCTTCAAAGATTTAATTGTAGGGTACTGGGTCCGCACATAATGGATTGGAAAAATTTACCTTTACCATAGTAAGATAACGAAGAAGAAATTAAAAATTACATCCGCCATTTGCCATGAATATTGTATATTGAAAGTACCTTTTCTTTTTGTTTCAGCAGTTCGGCAGAAGGAGATGTATTAGTAGACTCCCCCTCCATCACATCAAAACTTAGAAATAATTTAGATGATGGAACTCTCTTGGACCTAGTCACAGAAGCTGTTTCGCCAGCAGAGGAGTTGGTGACCGTTCCGCCAGAAGCTGTAAATCCAGCGATCTGCGTTTTCAACAAAAACGCCCTAGCAGACTCCGCTAATATGGTTGATTCAAACTTGCGACAACAAGTGAGAAGGGTTGCTGCTAAAGTTATTGAAGAGAAAAAAGCGCAACCTTTGACTTTCAAGTCAACTACTGTTCCAGTTGACCAGAAAATGATGAAACGAGTAAGTCGCGGCCGCGCTAAGAAGTCAGAGTCTCCGCCGAGAATTGCTGTCGACAGCACTTTGAAATCAATGTTGACCAAACCGAAGCCGAAGATGCCTCAGCCTGCCCAGAGAACCGGCTTAAAAGTTAAGATGCCTGTGCGACAGGCTACTGTGGAGACAGCTAAACTCCCATCACAGAATCTAAAGAGGCCCTCCAGTAATGGTTCCGCCGTCACACCATCCCCTAAAAGTCAAAAGATGGAAGAAGACTCTCTCTCGCAGCCAGATGTTCTCCTTCTGACCAATGGTGGTAGTCGGATCAAAAACGATGGCTTGATTTCTCCACCTGTGTCTGTTACTGGTTCTCTACCTCTTGATGTCAACACCACATCACCAGTCGGTATTGTGACAATGCCATCTCCTTCGAACAGCGAGCTGCAGCAGATTTTCGACCAGTCGCCTCTTAGTGACAACATCCTTGGAATGCCTGATAACTTGTAAGCAAAAGTTCTCTTTTATATTTTTACAATATTCTTTACTCTCTTTTGGGTGCTTACACATCCTTGACTTTTTAATTATTTTAACTCAAACATGCAAAAATCCACAACCTTTCACAATAATCCTGAAATTCATCCCTTGAGGTTGATATTCAGCATTTAGCACAGGTATTTGTGGAAACGAGGGAAATATTTAGTTACCATCCTGTTACACCTTTGATTAATCACTCACTGTCAAAATCACTCAAATTGCAAAGAAAGAAAAAATACGGAAAATTTGACGCTATTTTTTGTCCAACTGTACAAAAACAAGAGTAGATTAAAAAGGTTAGAAAAGATTTTTCTACTCAATTTGCCAAGAAGCCCTGTCTTAAAAATTTTGCTGCAGGGTTGTCCCAGTTACGGAAGACTGAGGAAACCGGTAAATGTCAGTGAATTTTAAAATTCAGGGAAAACCTGAAAATGCCGAGGACATTGAAAAAAGTGAATTGGGGAAATCGCCAAGTTAACTTTATTTGCTTTCTGAAATAGGTTTGACATCTCAAATAACATATTTTGCCTGAGAACTTTTACAAATTATGTCTTTTTAACCATCTGGTATATCTTCAATTACCAGGGAAATCAGGAAAATGTCAGAGAATTTCATTGGCTAAATTCTGAGGCAATCCTATATCCTGAATAGTGACAATAACTACTAGTCTCTGAAAAATAAATGGGCAAAATTGAAAGACTTTAAATAATATGAAGAAACCATCTTTCATGAATGAACTTTGATTTTGAAAGAGGTCTGAGTCATTTCAAGTATTCTTACAAGGTATTTTTCTCTTTAGTCCTTCTTCCAGTTTCAGTATGCCAGACAACACAGTGCCCGTGAGCGGAGAAGCAGCCGATACCCAGGCAGTCATGTCAATGTCCCCGACTGACATCTTGAACTCAGTCCCCTCCACATCCCCGGTCGAGCGGAACATCAATGATATGGCATTGACATTGTCGTCACCTGCTCAGCTGGCAGCCAACGGCACGGACCTTAACTCTTTCAACAGGTCTGGTCATTCGTAAGTTGTTGAGAAGAGGAAGATCGCAGGGTCTCTGATTAATCTTCCTATCTAAGCTTCTCTGCCGCCCACCCTCACTTTTTAACTGATATAAAATTTTAGGATGGATTTCAATCTGACAGTGAGAGACAGTTTAGATTATCAGATGAAAAATTAAAAAAAAAATGTGTGAGGTCTCTTCTCTGAAAAATTTTAGGGCCTCTAGAGACCTGTTCCGCTGTTGATAAAGAAGAACACTGTAAGAGCTTTCAGACGTTACCAAATTTCCCTTGATGAAATATGAATTTTTAAGGAAATATAAGAATATATTTCTTCGAATTTTTCAGAGACTTTTATGTATGATCAGTTTTAAATTATCTGGAAAGTCCAAGAATGAACATTTCTAACCCTCCTCAAAAATACATTTTTGTCCTTATTTAAAATAAGCTTTTATGATCTATGTGCTGATATTTTAACGTTTCACTTTGGTTTGAAAGGTGCTTTTCAGCCAAAATGACCTTCAAACAAGCTCAAAAAAACTGTCTTATTTATTTTCATGTGCCAGTTGCCAGCCTATGATACTGTCCTAAAATTAAAAATGCTAGCATCTCACACCATCATAAAAACATTAAAATTATACGCCACATTTCATGCTCACCTTCGACTGATCTTTTTACCTTGTAATGGGCCTCTAAATCAGGTCTGGTTTCAAAATTTTACAAAGGAAACGATTCACAAAATGGGAACTTTTGAAATCAACTCTTAAACAAGATATCGACAAGTATTTTCAACACAGATCAAATGGAAATTAGAACATACAAATGACATCATTTGTATTTTTGCTATTAAACCAATGTTCATTGTAAACATCCATATCTTGTTGAGGAGTTGATTTCTAGACTTCCTTTTGCGTGATTCAATTTTCTCATGAAATTATGAAAGGAAATCATGGTGTGTAGTGATTTAATTCATACTTCGGCTACAGGCCCATTCGGCTTTTAAGATGCAACAAGGAACATATTGCTTTCAACGACGCATCAGGTTTAAATTTCTCTTTTTTGTCACTGTGTCATTTGTGTGTCTATTCAATTTTTCAGCCTTTTTAACATATTTTGTTGGTCCTTTTTCCTTTTCCATCTTTTTTTCACAGAACCGACTTTAGTAATCATGTGGAGACGATGCAAAACGACTTGGATTGCCTGAAAGATCTATTGCAAAAAGAAGGGCTCAGCTTGGATGCAAACGTCTTAATGGGGGTAAGCGTTATTATCTCTATTCATTGTATCAAGTTTTTATGCTTTAAATTTTCTAATTAAAAGCCACTGGACATGAGAGGCTGGAAAGTTTGATCTTAACACTTACCATTCAAATTCTCAGTTTGACCCCATTAGTTCCTAGTTTTTTCTAATTCACCTACCATTTTATAAATCATAGATAAATGATAGTACTTTTCCGCTCATATGCATACTTAAAATTTCACGAGTGTTGGGGAAAATCAAAATCCAAGTCCTGAAAGTTCTAAATGAAAACACGGTGAAATCTCGTCAAGTCAAATTGTCAAGGGACCGAGAGGAATATCAACTTAAGTAGCTTTTTGTCTTATCCACTCAACTGCTTAGCACAAAACAAGCTCAAATGTCTGAGCAAGGCAATTTCAAGTAACTTACTAGGGATGATTTAAGTAACTTATTTAAAGTTTTCAATAATCGAGTATAATTTCAAATTTTTCAAGTGAATTTTCAAATTTTGTCTCTTTACTTTCAACAAATTATCAAGTCACAGATTTTAAAGTTCTCGCTCCTTTAAAAATACAGATCCGTCATCAGAAATTTTTTTTTTAAAGTGTCTTTTAGGCAAAATCGCTCCCTTTTCTTGATTTTCAATTTATCACATATAAAATCAAATTCTCACCAAATCGTCTGAAATTTTTTTGTTCGACTTCTCCTCCATGACAAGAGTCAAGAATTCATCTCAATTGAATTTGTTTGTACATTTTCTGTATGGATGTGTCTTCGAACCGAAGAAATTTTCGACTTTAGTCGGATTTTATCTCACCTGTCTTGGCTTGACGAGGTTTCTCTGTATTTTATTTCTTTTAAAGTCTCTTGGAAGAAAATGATCTTCATGAATAGTAGGGCATACGCTTAAATTAATTTTTCATTTTATTTTTTTTTCAAACAAGTCATGAAGCAGCATATTATATTGTTTCATCCAAATCTCATTGAGTTGTTTCTGTTTATGCTTTTGTTTTTTTTTTTTTCCAGTTGTTCAACAATGAGGATTCAATGAGTTTCAATCCGCCTGCGTACCAGAATCCCATTACTCAAACTGACCAAACAGACATGAGCCAAAGCTGTAAGTGGTTATTGAATGGTCTTTTTTAAATGCAACTCAAACATCTAAGAAAACATCTATAGTACAGTATTATAAATCGGAACAAAGGTAGAAAGAAAAACAAAATACTTGATCTTTGGGTTTGTTGGTTTCATGTCCTACAATCAAGTAAACTCGAGGGATTTCATATATCTCCTGGTTGCATCATGTATCATCAAAGCCATACAAAACTGTATCTAATTTTAAAACTGCACATTTCTTCTCAGTGCCTAACCTTACCTTTGGTGTGATAGAGTCTGTATTTCAGAAACCATGAAGGACGTAGGAAGTATGTTTATCAATTCAGAGCCTGTAGAGTGCTTGGCTCCATCAATAAAATGCTTTTAAAGACCTCAAGGTGCTTGATAAAGGAGGGGTGGCGATTTGGGTCATTTCCGGCCCCACCTAATCCGGGACTTTTTTTGCTGTGATTCGTTACGTATAAGTGTCAAGAGAAAGCATGCCAAGTTTCAGGCCGATCGGCCCAATATTCGGGGGGCGGGGGCCCCCCGAATTTTTAAGCGCAAAATCGGTTTTAATTTTGTAGCGCCGTCAATTTCTCTCGTATACAGATGAAAATTGGGTGCCAGGGGTAAAATTTTGCGTTCTTTCCATTTCCGCCGTCAAAATTGGCACTGGGGCCAAATTAAGGGGGATTTTGGGGGGTTTTTCGCGATTTTTCGCGTTTTTTACCAATTTTCTGCGGTTTTCATGCTTTAAGTCAGAGATTTTCAGCCAAACGACCACAGATTTGATTTCTACGCAAAAAATTACATAGGAACACAATGACCAACTAACACTCAACAGCGGATTTCTCTAGGAAAAACTGACCCATAAGTATGTGTTCACTCAGAAATTTTGAAAATAGCCATGTTTCGGGTACAGCCCAAGCTTGTAGCACTACCATATTCACATATGATACGCTCTAGGTCGACCCTGTTGATATTATCGGGAACTTGAAATGCCACCCGCTTGGGCGGAGGGTCGAATTCTCCTCAGAAACGAATAAAAAGGCGATAAAATTACGTTTCACGTGAATTGTTGCGAGAGGAATGTTATTATATCGGCAACTTTCACCTCCAACTTATGTAATTTTTTGCGTGCTTTCCATTTCTGCCATGAAAATTGGCATCAAAGCAATTTAAAACGGGTTTTTTGGGGTTTTTTATCATTTTTTATCATTTTTTACCAGTTTTTTCCGGTCTTTAGCGGTTTTCATGTTTGAAACCTCACCAAATGAGCCAAACGACCACAAATTTTAATTTTTCTCAAAATACATTTACTATCACATCCATAAAATACGTCACGGATGAATCGTATAGCAGAAGAAATGTTGTGTAAAATCCTTATCTCTCATTCTGAATCCTCGTCAGACCATAAGTAAGCAGCATCCTCTAGGCAGTCTCCATAAGAGGATGACAGTCTTCGGGGCTCTTTTTCTTGATGTCGGTAAAAACCAAGAAACCACAGAACTGATATGCCACATGAGGTTTCAAACATGAAAACCGCTAAAGACCGGAAAAAACTGGTAAAAAATGATAAAAAATGATAAAAAACCCCAAAAAACCCGTTTTAAATTGCTTTGATGCCAATTTTCATGGCAGAAATGGAAAGCACGCAAAAAATTACATAAGTTGGAGGTGAAAGTTGCCGATATAATAACATTCCTCTCGCAACAATTCACGTGAAACGTAATTTTATCGCCTTTTTATTCGTTTCTGAGGAGAATTCGACCCTCCGCCCAAGCGGGTGGCATTTCAAGTTCCCGATAATATCAACAGGGTCGACCTAGAGCGTATCATATGTGAATATGGTAGTGCTACAAGCTTGGGCTGTACCCGAAACATGGCTATTTTCAAAATTTCTGAGTGAACACATACTTATGGGTCAGTTTTTCCTAGAGAAATCCGCTGTTGAGTGTTAGTTGGTCATTGTGTTCCTATGTAATTTTTTGCGTAGAAATCAAATCTGTGGTCGTTTGGCTGAAAATCTCTGACTTAAAGCATGAAAACCGCAGAAAATTGGTAAAAAACGCGAAAAATCGCGAAAAACCCCCCAAAATCCCCCTTAATTTGGCCCCAGTGCCAATTTTGACGGCGGAAATGGAAAGAACGCAAAATTTTACCCCTGGCACCCAATTTTCATCTGTATACGAGAGAAATTGACGGCGCTACAAAATTAAAACCGATTTTGCGCTTAAAAATTCGGGGGGCCCCCGCCCCCCGAATATTGGGCCGATCGGCCTGAAACTTGGCATGCTTTCTCTTGACACTTATACGTAACGAATCACAGCAAAAAAAGTCCCGGATTAGGTGGGGCCGGAAATGGCCCAAATCGCCACCCCTCCTTTGCATGAATTGACTTACAATTAAACACTAGGGTAGCTCCAAAAGTATGTTCCACAGTCTTTATCTTTCTGAAAATATCACTGTTAAATGAATTCAATAATAAAAAAAAATAAAAAAAAAAAAAAAAAAAAAAAAAAAAAAAAAAATATGTCCGCCACATTATCAGCTATGCAATGAGCTAATGAATTGGAAATCGGTCGATTGATTTGCTGAGGAAGTCTGTTTTATTGGACCTAGGTTCCATTTTATTTCTTATTCCTTTTCCAAATAAGAAAGATCTCTGAATTGAAGGGTTTTTGGTGTAGTTTTCTACATTTTGCAACAAACTCTCAGAATTTGTTGCCAAAGTTTATTAGGGACACTTTTACCCACCCTCCATAGTTGCTAGATTTAGCTCTCAGTGATATTCACCTTTTCCCGGAACCAAAATCTAGTCTCGGTACTAGTAAGTTCGCCACTGATGCTGAGATTCAAAAAACTTTTTTTCCCAGCTTTCAAGTCAAAATGAGGACTTCTTTTCAGCTGGCATCAGGAAGCTGTAGTATTCATGTCAGAAGTTTTTGGACAAAAAAAGAGACCATTTTGAAAAGTATAGGAAGCTATTTTCATTTTCTGTATCGTATGACCGTCAATCTTTGTTTGGTTTTTCTGATATTCTGCATGCAGGGTAAAGTTACATTTTTTGACTTGCTTTGTAGAGAAGGTTGGTGCAGCTCAAAAAACTTTTCTAGCAAACCAGTGGACCGATTTTTAACTTCTTCAGCTCGCTAAAAAGTTGAGAGTGCAATTAACACACCTTAAACACTGGATTCATTTATCGTTGATCATTTTGTAGAAATATGACCGTGAAATTTACTGTTGAAACAACCCTCCTACAATACAATGAGGTGGCGGTTGGGTATCGTAGATCACTTGAAAGTGCTGTAAAAGCAGCAACTATGTACATTCTGCAATGAAATAAGTGTTTATCTCTTCCTCTGGCTTCGCAGCATCAAATAATGGCCTACCATTTCTATTAGCACTTTAACTAATTGCAAATTTTTAGATTCCTACTTCAAAATTTTTTTAAATGCTTCTTC